AATATAGGTGAACAATTCAACTAGAAAAATTGAAAATAAATACAATTTATCTAAATACAAATTAGAGACACATCATAATAGATCATTCCATCTTAAAAAAAAATCTTACTTATTATAAAATGCAGATTGTGTGTGTGTGTGTTCGTTTATATATTGGATCGGATTTCCTAGATTTTTCAACCGATTTCAACAAAACTTCACAGGACTACGTAAAATTACCTTGCGGTGGTTCTGACAGCGCCAAAAATTGAAAAACACAATTGTTTTTGCACGAAATCAATTTGAAAACACGATTAAGAGGTTATACTTATTATAAAACCCAGGTTGGTTGTTTGTGTGTGTGTGTGTTCGTTTATATATTGGATCGGATTTCCTACATTTTTCAATCGATTTCAACAAAACGTCACTTTTTTTTGGCAGGTAGTGTTTCTTATTGTCTTGCACACTTTTTTCTTTATTTTTACATTAAGAATGCTTTAAAAATTCCATTTACAAGACAATTATTTATAATAAAATTCTATTCAATCGCTAGACTCATAACAATTGAAAACAATGTTTTTGTTTCAGTTTGGGTTTGACCAATTCATAAAAAAATAAAAAAATTAATTAAGACATGCGTGTCCATCAACCTTAAACAATAATCTTTGTCAATTTTATTTTTCAGACTTTATGATGGTTGATACTTGATCTATCTCTTACTGTTACATCCCCGGGTAACACCGGGCTCTACTGCTAGTCTATAATGTTTTGGAACATTTTTTAATATCAACTTGAAATTTTTCTTCTTAAAAAGTTGAATAATTTTAACACATTCAACATTATGGCTAAAAAGTAGTGAATTTTATGTTCCGTGTTTTTTGACACTTATCATGAAGAAAACAAATTCACAGATTTGGACAAAAAAATCCTTCAGAATGATGTCAAAATGTTTCATCTTTTAAAAGTTATTTGTGCTTAGTTTAATTTGTAATGTATTTAAATGTAGATTGAAAAAAGCAAATGTTGATAAGATAGTGAGGATCACAAAGCACTACCTGGGGACCCCAAATAGGCTTGGGCCCCTTCCTCCCAGTTGGGATGTTCAGGGGTAGTACACAATGGCCATACACTTGTGTTTTAGTGGCTTTATTGCCTTGCTTGGAGTGAAATGATTAAAAAATTTGCATAGAATAAGTAGAGAAATTGTGCTTTGTTCCAGTTTTCTTCATGGATATTTTACTTAACAAGTTTTTTTCTATTTCGATTGTATTCACCTGATTTTTTTGTTCTGATAACACACAGTAATATATATATATATATATATATATATATATATATATATATATATATAAACTTTAAGGGTTATTATGCATTGTAATATTGTATTCCTTCTGGGGAAGGGATGACAAAACACTAGCTACACCACTGTTTGCCATTTTGACAAATAGGGTCATGTCTTCTTTGATATTTTTCTCTCTGACCTGCAAATGGACCCTGGCTCTGAAGGCATTTAGTCTTCTAATTCAGATGATAATTAATGCCACTTCTCTCATACCTTTCTGATACTAATAGTGGCAGATCAATGTGTCAAGCTGATATTATTTTTTTCAACTATGCTCTGCTACCAATTTGTTAATCCTGTTGCAGTAGTTGCATTTTGAAATCATCTTTGGGTTACCAGATTCTGCAGTGGATGCATGTTGAAATCATATTGGGGGTCACCAGAGGTTACAGTAGCTGCATGTTGAAATCATGGTGGGGGTCACCAAATGTTGCAGAAGGTGCATGTTGAAATCATGTTGGGGGTCACCAGGTGTTACTGTAGGTCCATGTTGAAAATGCATCATAGTCACCAAACAGTTGCAGGCATTATTCCTAGCTTGACTAAATGCAGTGGCAACAGTATTTTGCACATGTAAACGATGAGTGTAAGAAAATGGAATGAATTTCTACATGGCATTATTTTATGTTGTATCCTTAAAGGTTACAAACAGACAAAGGTTGTACCTGAGTGAAAGGAACAGCAACACACGCATAGATAAAAGAAAGAGAGGTTTATTGTAAAAGAGAATACACTACTGAAAGACAGGGAATCAATTAGCAGGCTAGTAATTCTCAAAGCAAGTCACCAGGTATATCCTATGCTTACTATATATATCTACTGATATAGTCAGTCCACATATGCGATAGGGAGTGTGGGACATTCCATTACAACATTTTATATTTTTGTTTTATATAACTGAGTAAAAAGAGAAAGAAAATAGTCTAGCATGAATGTCAAAGAAAGAAGACATTAAAAGTTAGGAATTGTGTTGATTATACACGTGTGTGTGTGTGTGTGTGTGAATAAAATTCAGTCAGTGAGGGGAAATATATCCTCATACTCAGGAACAAGGTTCCATTGGAGTTACTTCTACCATATGCTAAAAGGCAAAAAGAAACAAGAGTAAGAAAGACAGGAAGTGTCATGCTTTTATAGGTGCTTGACAGCGCTACCTAATGACTTCTTGGCAAAACTTGCAAAGCTATATAAGTATAATCCATAATCCTCTATCTCTCTCTGAGCCCAATCGCACACCCACAATCACATGCATGTTCTGCAACTACCAAGAATAATCATCCCCTCATTGTAAATGGTGATGACTTTAGTCAGCCAATAGCACACCTTATAGTAACTTTAACAATTCTAGTTTCAAACCCGATCACTCAACTTAAAACCTTGGATCACTGCAGATAGGTACTCAATACAATATGAATATGGCCTAACATAATCTTCTGACTATAACAAAATTTTTCTTCTTCATAACTGCAGCATTAAATACATCAAAATGAAATATTCAAGGCCAGAAAACCTTACATACTACTTATCCTGACATAAAGTTATTGCATACTTATTGCATTCTTATTGCTGGTCATAATGTTTTAGCTTATCAGTGTGTGTGTGTATATATATATATATATATGAATGACTATTCTGTATATTTTCTTAATAGGATTCTCAAACCTCAATTGTACATTGTGCAATAAACAAAAAGTTACCATAATAAAATAAAGATATAAAGGTAGAATAAGTCTGAATTTGGATAAAAAAAATTTTCATTAATGCTCAATCTATATGAGTAATTGGGTTAAATGCATTGTCAAGAAAAGAGATTAGGAATATTTATTGTGTAAAATAAATACTTTTTTCATTATGAAGCTAAGGATTTAGATATATACTTTTGGAAATGTGGAATGCAAAAAAATTTATTTAAAAAGACACCTTAAAGATAGCATAGAAAATTATTACTTTTTTTTGAAACAGCATTCATGTAACCAGAGATAAAAGCATAAAAATAAAGAATACAAAAAAGAAACAGATTAAATTAAAAAAATAATTCATTTGAAATAAATAATACATATTAAATGAAATTAAAAAATAATAATTTTTTATTTATTTTTTTTTTTTTTAATTAATTATATTATTTTTCTATGTGGGAGTGTATTTTTATAAAAGTGATATGAAATTATTCAATGTGCTAAATATCCCAATCTTAACCTCTTCAAGTCTAGGGCTAATTGTTATCTTTCCTACATATTCTCATAAACTGCACTTCTTACTTTATCCTCTTACTAGTCATACAACAACCTCATACAGTAACCCTCTATACTGAGTGGCTCTTGGGCCTTGTATTTGGTGAACATTATATATATATATATATATATATATATATATATATATATATTTATTAATCATGCTTATATACACCTTTATAATAAGACAAACATTAAAATTCCTTATACTGAATTTTTCTGTCAGTTTAATCAGCTTTGCGCCTTTGCCCAAATATTTTTTTCTGGAAATTTAGCATTTTTAAGAAAAAGTAAATTTTAAAGTAGGAACTAATGAAGAAGCTCTAAAGTGGAGAGGGGTCAATTTAAAAACATGAAAAACTGCAACCTTACTGTGTATTTATAATAGGAAATTATTTGAATTACATTTTACAATGCAATGCCTAACTGAAAAATGATTTTATGTACATGTTATTGTTATGTAATTTTAAAGTATGGAAGTCTAAATAGGAAAAATATATATATTGCATTTTCTTTTTCTTGATAATAATATTAAAAGCTAGTTCAAATTGTGTACCTAGTCCCAAAGAAAAATTAAATTAAATGCAACTTTATCTTTGTTCTTTAGGCTTCCATACTTTATTTTAAGATTACGAAGTCAGAAAAAGAATCGCTACAAATTTTCATAAAAACATAAAAAGGGAAGTACGGAGGAAAATGGACAATTTCTAGCACTACATGTACGGGACTCCACATTGTGACCTTGTGTCACACTTACCATTATGAAGCAGGTAGGTAAAAAAAAAAAAATTAAAAATCTCTCATCCAGCAGTGTGCCGACACGGAGGCAGAGGGTGCGATGGCCCCAGGCATCCATATCGGGAGGGTATCCAATAAAACAAAGAGAAGACTAAGAGTGAAATAAAAATGTTTGAATTTGAATAAAGTATTTATTTACTTCATGTTTCATCTGTTCCTCCTTTCTCACACTCACATTTCTCAACTAGGCCCTCAACTTGAGTCTTCTTTGCTTGCATAAGTTGGCCCCGGGCATCACCAAAATGTCACTGCTCTTATCACATGAAGAAAAACGCTTTAAAAAAAAAAAAGGCGTAAAAAAAATAGTGGGAAAACAATTTATTATAAACCCAAATAAAGTCTTTACAATTTAATTTAGACAACAACAGAACGTCAATTTTCAATCATCAATCAGTTTCCATTCGCCGATGTTTTATTGTTTATTTTTTGTTTACCTGTCATGGTGAGGCACAGGAAAAAATTAAATTTGAATTTATTTCAGTGGATGATGTAAAAAATGTAGATAAATTGCTGTTTACTGTTAATTCATCGGCATTGTTATTACTGGCAGAAGAGGGCCAGCCAATATTTAAAAGACGAAAAAGTTGAATACCTTAAAAAATGAGAAGGGGGACAACTCTGTCGGAGAACTCTTCTCTTAATTTATAAACATGGCAGCAGCAGGAGCGAGGACAATAAGGGTATGTGATATATTTTGATAATTCTTAGAACTTCAAAATAAAATAAAACAAAAACTCTATTAATCCACTCTGTATTGCCATGGTCCATGTATTACGACTTTACTGGATTTACGTGTCATCAACTATGTGATGCCCTTTTCCCCAAACACACATTGATTTACGCAAGAAGTGTACATGTGGTTCGCTTTCAAAGTCCTTTGACCTTTAGTCAATGGTTTGGTACTTTCTGGTTTATGACTTATTTTCAATGCATCTGGACACCAGAAGCGGCTACCAAAGTTCTAATTAAATGCTATCAGATTAAATTTTGTTTCTAAATAAAATTGAAAATTTGTTTTAAAATTATGAAATAACTTTGAGCGTTTTTTTTCTTTTTTCGACGTTTTTTAGTCAACGAGAGTTAATCAATTCCTTAAAAACAGGAAAAATGTGTCGTGTTTAGAATTAAAAATATCACTGACTTGTAAAATATTGCAGGCAAATGAAATATTGATCAATAAAATTATTTTCTTCTCTCACCGATTACTGACGTGTTGAAAAATAGATTTACAACGAATTTTCGTTTTTTTTTGTTTTATTTTTTTATTTTTTTTCAAATTTTTACAGGTACACACTACACACAGAAGTTCAGATAAAAAAAGTAAATCATCATTTTACCAGCCAAAAAATTTAATTGGATCAATTTTTTTTTAGATAATTTGTGCACTAGTGAAATCAACCAATTTATAAAGTAAGAAATTACTAAAAAAAAAAAATCCTCCTTTATTCCATATCATACAAAAATTTTATAAGATTTTTTAAAACAACTATTCGCTTAGATCCAAAATTCCAAACAGTTTTTTTTATTCAACAAGCGTTTGTAATTGTGTACAGTACATCAAATTGTTTAACTGAAAATGTGGTTCCATGTGAAATATGGATGTATTAAATTATGTAAATAAAATAGTTCAGGGAAACATTTTTATTCTTAAAAATAAGTGAAGTAGTGGAGAGCCATGATCGCCCTTGTCTTAAACACACAAGAAGAATCCCTTAATCTAAATATATATCTAGTACAAAGCATTTACATCTGAATATGAACTTTTGGTGAACACAAAACTTCTGTCAATAAAGTTTTTGTGGTGTGTTTTCTTGGGCATTTTAAATAAAAATTGCTTTTCACTTTTATTTGTTCAGTTATGACTTTGATAAGTAAATAGAAAATATTTAAGTTTTACATTTTTATAAAGATTTAAAAAAATGGAATAAAAAATGATTTTATTCTTTTTACTCTATGCTTAAAATATTAAATAATAATAATTGTTTTTTTTAATATTTAAGAAGTAAAAGAAGTCATCAATAATAATTATTCTCTGTAATTTTAATGTTTTTTGTTAATGAAAAAGTATCAATTTAGCATGTATGAAAGCTCCATTATGTAATTAGATATTTTGAACATTTTCAATAATGGGGGCTACTTACATTTCCCCATTATGGGCATTATTATATTCATGATATAATAATATCTTAATATACTGTAGCACCTATTGGAGGGGTCACCACTTTTGTAAGATATAAAAATACAATTGAAGATATTGACATCAAAAACTGAATTATAATAAAGGTAGAGTACTTAATTAAAAGGCCAAAATTTTATTATTGGCAACAACACTTTACAGTATGTACAATTATTGATTTATAAAAACTGAAAGCAGTCACCACTTGGTAAGTGGTGAAATATTAAAACACATAAAAATGTTCCAAAGTGTAAATGTGTGGATATGCAAATATGGTTAGTTTAATAGTCCTGAAAAGGAGCAAAGTAATCACATGCAAGTAGTAGATCTTTGGAAATGTTCATGTTTGATATAGTCCTTGATAAAAGGAAAAGTTTACGGTTGAACTTTGTCAACATTGAAACAGCTCAAATGAAATTGCTTGAATAAAGTGATTTGGGACTGGTAAGTAAAAATCCAAAATGGCAACATGCTGAATGATGAAGATGCCAAACAAAGTATTTGCTGTTAAGTAAATCCAGAAATTGGTGGGAAACCAAATCAAAGTGTCCCGTTGCTAAGTAGGATTCAATATGGTGATGTGTCAATGAAAAAGAGCACCAGAATTTGGCGTGGTTACAACATGACAGAATTACCCATCATGATGGTGTTTCTGCAAACAAATGTTAAAAAGATTAACATGCAAAAACAATGAATAAATTAACAAAGCAACAAGATCAAATTTAAACAAAGCAAAGGATTGGATTGCTCAACAAAAAGATAGGATTATTTACTTATTTATTATTTACCAGAGTGACGACAAAGAAAAGCAGTATTACTGCATCTTTCTGAAAGAGTGGGTAAGCTGATAAGAGAAGGAAAAGCAATAGTTACACCTTTCCAAGACTGAAGAGGTGAAAAGGAAAAGAAAACAAAACAGGAAGGAGAACTTCTTCACTGTTTAGGCAGAAGTCGCTTTTACTTCCTTCAGGCAACCCCTTCGGCCAGGGAAGGATCAATACTGTCATAATGACAGAATCGCACATAACCCTGGGGTAGAGCCTGAAGAGAGGCCAAGAAAGCTCTTTGTGTATATAATGTTGTTACAGTCACATAACTTGGCTTGTCTTCCCAATTTCTTTCCTTAAGAAACTAAGTAGATATTTGGAAAACATCTTTCTTTAAGCAAATGTTCCTATTAGTATTATGAAACTGTTCATCAAGGTTTTACGTAGTGAATATACATGATTTTTTAAACATTGAAGGATTTGGTAGAATTCAGAAACACTGATACATAAAGGTACATAACAAAACCATTATCAGTCAAAGAACATGGCTGGAACAATAGTTGAAAGAAAAGGAATGACAAAATGCTTTTTTCTAAATCATATACCAAATTATATACAAATATTTACACTTGTCCCGCACATAAAGTATAACACATGTATATAGCAACAAGTAGTGTGAAAATGTTTAGGAGACATAGGGTCTTACTTGTAACAATTCCTCACAGGAATTTGAGCTACCAGAGGATTCTTCTGTTTCTGAAGCAGGCATGTTTATATTTCCCAACAGGAATTTGAGTTGACCGGATGAGGACCTATTTCCCAACTGAAAAATGGGGCTTGTGTGCTGGCCTAGACAGGCAGGTTTAGTCTTGCCTGTCTTAACTTCAGGTATCTAACTAAACAACTGACCACTTTCATCACTCTTTGAACTGACATCACTCAGCAGCTGTCATGTTATACACATGAAGTCATTTCAACTAAAGGGAGATAATTGCCTTTTGCGTTGTTACAGCAGTTTGTTAGTATGCTTGTAAAAAATTATGAGAGCTTCAAGATATTTTTGTTGTGACAGATATTTGTAAGTTTATATCCTTCAGTTGTCATTACTTACCACCTGTAAAAAAATCTATGATGATACCTGATTTATTTTGTCTGCAAAGTTGCAGAAGAATTCTGGGCATTACTTACAAAAGACCATGCTTCAAACAAAAATGTCCTGAAACAGGTGGGAATACTAAGCATGTTCATGTTGCTCTCCCAAAGACACTAGCACTGGCTAATCGACCACATAAAAGAAGGCTGTAAACCTAAAGATATGCTGCCTGGAGAACTTACCATTAATTCCAGACCTGCAGGATGACCGGTCCTTCATTACAAGGATGCTTGCAAATGCAACATAAAAGGCAACAGCCTGGGGGTTCAACACAGAAACTGACATTCAAAAAAGTGAGATGAGTAGAGAGGACCAGTTGGAAGAGTGGAGAGAGAACAAACAGCAGAGAGCAACATCAGCACCCATAGAGCCAGATGCAGCTTTGACATGCATCAGTTATAATAGAGCCTGCTATTCTAACATCAATCTATACAGCCACAGTAGACTCTGCAGCTCAATCACAGACTGTTCTGTTTTGATCATCTGAGAGAACCCATTTTGTCTTCTATCAGCATGGCTGATGCTAACCTCAAGGAGAATGACTTATTGTGCCTTCTCAAGTTAACATTTTCTGCTTACATGAAGAGGAAAGATTAGTTTGAATCAGTTGCTATGTCTGCTGCTAGGAAAGTTGGTTCACTGTGTTGTACTAGACAGTTTTTCTCGCCAGAGTCTATCTTACACATTTATAAATCTACTATTTGTCTATGCATTGAATATTGCTGCCACATCTGGTCTGGTACTTCTGATGATTCTTGATAAAATAAAAGAAGAATCTGCAATGTTATTAGTCCTGACATCTTGGCTTCAGTCACTTTTCCATTGCTGTAACATATTTTCCCCTGTGCCTTTTCTATAAATACTTTCATAGTAATTGTTCAAATGAACTTTCTTCTATGCTATCTAGAATTTATGAATTTAAGCACAGTACTAAATTGGCATGAAGTAATGGATAGCAACTCGGATTGAAGAATCGGAGAGAGCTGAGTTTGAATTCCAGTTGAATCCACCATTCACTTATGTGTTAATACCCTTGGGAAAAGTATGAATCCTCTTCTTCTCCCCCCAGCTATGGGTAAATAGCAGAACAGACTGGGTTCTATAGCCTTGGATGGCAACTGGTCTACCACAGAAAGAAATGGCAACCTACTGCAGGAAAAAAATCTGCATTGTCAGTCATGTATTGAAAGATACATGATTGCTTAAGCGTGTATCATGCATAACTGACTGAATGGATTGGCAGCAAAGTCTCATCATTTTTAAGCAATGTTTTGCCTTTACTTGTTTTCATATATTTTTATGAAATCCTTTCTAATCTTTTTTCTTTCCAGGTTGTAAAGCCACATGTGCCTTTGATAAAGTTTCCAACCAGAAAGGTTAATGGTAAGTACGTCACAAAGGATGAAGCAGTTAAAATCATGTTAGAAAAAAGTTTTCTTCAAAAAAAATTAGCCATGTCATACTTGTCACATATTAATAGTGTTTGTACATTTAAGTCAGAACTGAATCATAAAATGACACCTAATGGTGTATTCTGTTTAAAACAAGGACCACATTATTTATTACCCAGAATTCCCTTGTGTTACAATTTATACAAAATTGAAATGTAAAAATGAAATGAAATGAATAATATATAACTATACTGAAAATTTATTTATATTTTTCTCAAATTGCATGATTTTCATCAAGCAATATTTGGTTGAAATTCATCTTTACAGTTCTAACAGAATAGTCTATAAATCTTTTCTTCTTTCACTGCTACTCCTTACAACATATTTACATTTAGTTTGTATAAATTGTATGAGTTTGTCAACTTCTTGTTGCTTTCTAAATTATTCTATCTCATTTCAACAGTATTATAAAAAACTACAACAAAATGTTGTTCTGAAGGTATAGACTCCTCTGCACACAAATTTGACTATCTATCCAAAAGTACAGGAAACATGCCACTAATATTCAATGGTCCATTAGTGATGTTCTCTGACTCAAGTCTGGTTCAGTAACCAATGTCATCATATCAATAATGGTGCCCTTGTTTGTTAACAACTACAAAACCCATGTAGTGCATGGGATAAATGTATTAAGGGGTTGAGTGGTACCAGGGATGTGAACTGAATGGTTGGTTGGTTGGCTTGTTAATTGCTAGTGGTCTTCTCCTTGCAATGATAATGAACACCTGTACTTTTCATGTGCCACTGATATCCATCTGGAATATATGTATGCTCTTTGATACTATTACATATAAGGAATACCTGGAGCAACTGCCTATTTAGAGTGTGCCACATCCTTTCTAAACCCAACTGTCATTCTGCCATCAAATGTGTTGAATCCTGTCTGCCTTCTATGTCTTAACTTATTATGTCACATATCTAGTTGAGTCTGCCTCCATATGTGGGGGAGGGCAAAACCATCCATTGTATTGTACTATTATCTGCAATTTTGGGGCATTTTTGTTTATAAATTTAAATATTCTCCCTCTGTTCATCTTTCTAAAGAAATACTTTTTCCTTTCAAATTCATGCAAGGTTTTTAACAAAGAAAAAATTCAATAAAAACTGCAGTATCACTTGACATATGTGCTTCTTCATAAGGAAAATATGTGAACAGCTATTTTCTTTAATGAAATTTTTTCTCTGTTTGACTGATTATTTTTTTTTTTCGATTTGGTAAATGATAATTTTTTTTTTCAATTTGGTAAATGATAACCACACTTATTCTGAATGAAATATCTATTTTTACTTAAAATTTCAAAATAAATTTTTCTTATTTAATCAGTTGTGATAAATGTTTTAAACATTTTCAAGTTAAAAGAAAAAATACAAAAAGAATTAATTTAATATACATGCTTTTTTATTTTATTTAATTTTGTTAACTACAGAGCCATTAAAAATGGTCAATATCTCTGTGGCAAACCCAGGACAAATGCTAGTGTCAACGCCAGATGTCACCTCTAAACCTGTTGGGAGCATGCCTCGTGGATCTGGTATTGAATGGTCTCAGCTTCCAGCCAAGTATCACAGAAAACCTCTCTCTCAAGAAGAGATTGAGTTTATTGAAGTAAGCCACTATTTTTTATTATTAACCCTATAAATTCTTAAAGAATTACATGAAATCATTTTTTTAAAAAATACAATATTTGGTATCTTAAAACTCTTAAGAAACAAAGTAATTTTGAATAACAATATTTGCTAGGTATATTCTCAAAGTTTTTCTTTAAATGTTATGCAAAAATCAATTTTCTTCTTAGTTTTTATAATTTATTAATACCAGCAGCAGACAAATCCTCTATATTGTTTTTTCAGAGTTAGAATAAGCTGATACATCAGTACATAATTCCACTGTTTGATAATGATATCTCTGTTCAATTAAATAATACAACAAACCATTGACATATCACAAAAATAATGTACAGCAATTTTTTTGTTATAGATAAGTTTTCAATTTCTATTTATCGGAGGTTGTAGAATAATTATTATTGTAGTGAGATATGCTAAATGAACTTATCCTATTTTGTATAAAGTTAAATGACTACAAATAAGTCAGCCTTCAGTCAGGGACAATTACTAATACATCACAGACAACACAACAACATGGCATCACCAATAGGATCCCTAACACCATTGGAAGAACTAGATTTTGTATAATTGTGAATTCAGTGTTTCACAGCCCAGGCGAGTGCCAGGAACTTAAAAGACAACAAAGTTGTAGGAGGGAAGAGTGAGATTACAGATCTCTTTTGGGGTTTGGCGGGCTGTGAGACCATTAGAAAGATCTCCATCATGGCTTATCCCAAAGAATTAGAAGATTTAACATCTTCAGAAATTTCTGATGTAAATTTATGACAAAAAAAAGCTGGTTATTGGAAAGAGTGCAAAGTTTCTCTCAAGCAAACAAGAGCTGAATGAAACGATAATACAGTATATACAAGAGGCCTCCAGATTCTGTGAATTTGAAAAACTTGACACTGGAAAATGACTATAGAGAACAACTTAATACAGTTGAGATCAACAGAAAGTATGTTTGATGCTTCGTATAAACACAAAATTTTTAAAACAATTACAATTGAATAAAATGTCCTTAGATGAATGTGTAGAGTTTCTGCAACAATTAGAATTAATTGATAAATTCACTACATCTAAGAGCAATACTGAAGCATATCGAACTTATACGATGTAAGTACTGCAATAGAGAGCATGAACAGGCCAAGAAAAAAATGTCCAGCTTTAGGACAAATATGCTAGAATTGTGAAAAGAAAGATCATTTCCATTCCATTTGCAAATATAAAAAGAAAATAGAAAGGGTGGAAAATTCCCCCCTCCTCCTCAGGAAAATACAGATTTATATGTGATACAAAGACCTAAAGAGGAAAATGCCAAAGAAAAAATTAAATAGTATAAGTTTTTCTACGCAGTTAGGTACTGGAAGTGATGTTACCTCAATCCCAATAAATTTCTGGGAACAAATAAACAAACCCAAATGAAAGAAGAGTTATCTGAAACAAACTCGTGAAAATGTATTAACTGGTGATATTAAGAATATGATCATCTATCAAGATGATATAGGCATCGGTAGTTTCAGTAAAGACAAGTTAAAACAAAAAACTGATTATGTTTTAAACAAATTAAAAAATGCTGGGATGATCATAAACAGTGATTCAACACTATCAAGATGATATAGGCATTCAGTAAAGACAAGTTAAAACAAAAAACTGATTATGTTTTAAACAAATTAAAAATGATGATCATAAAACAGTGATTCAACACTATCAAGATGATATAGGCATCGGTAGTTTCAGTAAAGACAAGTTAAAACAAAAAACTGATTATGTTTTTTTAAACAAATTAAAAATGCTGGGATGATCATAAACAGTGATTCAACATTATCAAATGATATAGGCATCGGTAGTTTCAGTAAAGACAAGTTAAAACAAAAAACTGATTATGTTTTAAACAAATTAAAAAATGCTGGGATGATCATAAACAGTGATTCAACACTATCAAGATGATATAGGCATCGGTAGTTTCAGTAAAGACAAGTTAAAACAAAAAACTGATTATGTTTTAAACAAATTAAAAAATGCTGGGATGATCATAAACAGTGATTCAACACTATCAAGATGATATATAGGCATCGGTAGTTTCAGTAAAACAAGTTAAAACAAAAACTGATTATGTTTTAAACAAATTAAAAAATGCTGGGATGATCATAAACAGTGATTCAACACTATCAAGATGATATAGGCATCGGTAGTTTCAGTAAAGACAAGTTAAAACAAAAAACTGATTATGTTTTAAACAAATTAAAAAATGCTGGGATGATCATAAACAGTGATTCAACACAATAGCATATCTAGGATACCAAATTCCTAAAGATAGAATTTCACCAGATACAAATTGGATAAAGAAAATATCGGAGATATCTACACTCACATATAAAAAAGAATTGGAATCTTTTTTAAGGTTAGCCAATTTTTATACAAGATATTTGCAAAAATATAGTGAATTAATAGAACTTTTTGCAGAGTTATCTAAAAGGAATAGTGAATTTAAATGGACTCAATTGCAGAATATAGCATTTGAAAATTTAAAGGAAGCACCTATAGAAACTCATACAAATTTTTTACCTTAAAAAAGTGACTTTAACTATAAACATAAGTGAGCAAGCCATATCAGTAATTTTGTTTCAACAAGGTCACCCTATAATGTAGCTTTCTAGAAGATTAACATCAGCTGAAATTAACTATTCAAACCTTGAAAAAGAAGTGTTAGCTGTCATATAGAGCATAGATAGAGCTTGCCAATTTTTATTAGGAAGGAAGTTTCTGTTGAAATCTAACCATAAACATTTAGTTTATTTTTAACCCCCAGAAAGGAGTTATTTAAAGCCACATCTAGAATTTTAAGATGAGCCATAAAGCTCATGGCCTCTGACTTCAACATCAAATATGTGAAAGGAAACAATATTCCATATGTTGATGCTCTATCAAGACTAAAATTCAACAATGAACAATTAGAAAGATCAGACAATGCAGAAGATAAAATATTGCATTGGATTGAAACTAATGTATTATCCTAAATCATCTTGCATTTGAAATCTTACAGGATTCACTATTAAGCAAAATTACATATAGAATAAAAAGAAACAAATGGACTGATGGTTCTGGGCAGAGAGACGCTTTGAAAAAATAAGGCACAAGTTAACTATAGAGAAGGGTCTTATAGGCAAGGAAGATGTTTTAATACTACCAGAAAGATTAAGAAAAGATATAATAAAAAGTGTACATGATGATGTTCATTGTGGAATAACAGAAGCACAAAGACAATTACAATTAGAAGCATGTTGGCCTAAGTATTCACATGACGTAGAAAAATATGTATAAAAATGCCCAAAATGCATGGAAATAAAAAAAACTTTCGGAAAACATAGAAAGTATAAGACTATTTTTAATTTTGGTTAACTCGTTCTCTGGGTGGCCTGAAGTTGTTAGGGTTCAAGATAGAAAGGCAGCTATGTTAAAGCAAATATTACAATATTTTCCAGAAATAGGGTGTCAAGAAAAGAAAGGTTAGTCTCTGACAATGCACCAGAATTTTATGATGAAACTTAGTGTTCATGGTTAAAACAAATAATATGACTCCCTTATAAAACACCACTATACCATAAATTGAATGAAATTGCAGAGAGAATGGTGCAGATGATGAAAATGGGGTTGAAGGTATTTTCCCCATCCAGAGACCCTATAGATAGATAACTACCTACCAAGAATATTATTGAGTTATAGAACCATTCCACATACAGGTAGAGTGCAAAAAAAAGACAGGTCCCCAAAAAAGTAAACATTATTGTATAAAAGGGACATAATACAGCTGTAATAACAACAAAGGGACAGAATTTACTGGCTCACTCTGATCAAATAAAACCTAGAATTGATAGCAAAGAAGTCAAGATGGAAGAAGTAAAAAATGAGGATGAACCTGTGAGGGAGGAAAGGATGAGCGTTTCTGATGCCGAAAATAAACACAGTAGGAAAGAAACTGTGGAGTATAATACACACGAATCAAACATGGAATTGAAAGATCAGAATGAAGAGGAGTTCAAATCTAGATCCCCAGTAAAACGACCCAGATACTCACCTCAAGAGAGATAAGATCTTCTACTATAATTAGAAGAAGTCAAAGATTAACAAAGGTCATAAAAGAAGGTGTAGTGAGATGTACAAAACGGACTTACCCTATATTGCATAATGTTAAACAACTACAAATAAATCAGTCAACATGATGGGATGATTACTACTACATTAAAGATTGGGAGACAGCATGACAATTATTAGCATAAAATTTTCCTGGATATGTTAAGGCAACAGTGGATTTGCAGTAGCAAAGCAACAACTGGGTATGTTTTGTTCCATATTATGGGGAAAACTGTTCAGTAAAAAAGATTATTTTTGTATTGTGTTAATATTACATTTATCTTTGCTTATCAAAACAAGTCTTTTCTAATTAATCCTCTTCATATTTGTAAGAGAATTCAAAACCATCTTTGACATCTATTGATAACTCGACAAGTAGTTTGTTTAAAAGGATGTCTGAATCTGATTAAAAATTAGAATCTTAAGAGGTTTTGAAATATTTCTTGCTGCTGGGAATTGGATTTGTGCTGAACAAAGCAGATGTCAATTTCTTTTTTGCAAAGCAAGTAAAACTAAAAATGCAATTTATTTCATATTAAATTCTGTTACTGACCTTTAAAAACAAAGGTCAGTAACAGAATTTTTTTAAAAACGGGTCTCAATGAAATCAGAAATTTATTTTTGAAACTTCTGATATTAAATAGTTATTTGTGAAATAACAAATAAAGAAAGAAATCTAATCCAATATACTAGTGTATAGCTTCCTCTTTAGGCTTCAGAAGAGCTCCTTTAAAAGGTCCTCTCAATCTATTTGTCCCTTTGAATTGGACAGACTGATGGAAGAGGTACTGCCTTATTTAAGGGAATTGACAAATAGGGGCTGAAACCTGAATCAACACCAACTTTTAATGGTCAACTGGTGCACTGGCATATGCAATATTAGACAAATAATGGGCTGTATTTGATGTGAAATACAAATATTAATTGTTTTTTATACAAATAGCAAAATTAAAATTTCAAATGAATATAAATCTATGATAGTTATTTATGCGACATTGCTTCCTTTTGGCACCAGAATTCAAATATAAGGCACCCAGTGAGGATCAGATTCACTACTCAGTAGTAATGACCTACAAGACAACATTAGTAAACATTTCATATTGCCAAGATAATTAAATAGTTTCTAAAATCTAGCTTTGGTTCATCACAATATATGTGATATGATGATGTAAAATCTTAAAAATACTGATTTGGAATGTGATATTAAATAGTTTTCAAGGTAGTTATATAACTGTAAGGAATAATAATAAAATTTTGAAATTTATATTCACTTGTTGGTTTTGCATCTATCATTAATAAGTCTGGATTTTGGCATCTTGTTTGATCCTTGTTTTCTTCAAGAACAAATATGTCCCATTTGAGAGGAAAATTGCTAAAAATAAAAAGAACATCTTTTTCATAATATTTAATGGTTACTTCATAGGCAAAAAGATTTAAACTTATTTTTGTTTTTTATCTAAATTTTATTTTAATTTGTATATATTTATTTCTTTTTTGCTCTTTCTCTCTCATTCCCTCTCTCTTTCTGTGTGTGCGTATGCATGTATATATGTCACTAGTTTAAAATGAAAGGCACAATCACAAGTACTGGAGATCAGCCCCATATAAATAAGGTACTGAAATGATAATTACTTAGATTCATAATCCAGAAAAATCCTAGGAAATATTCCATTTTAAACTTTTTTTAAAAACGGCACAAATTTATTAATTATTAAAAAAAAATTATTGTTTTCATATTAGTTTAGTTAGCTTGTTTTTTTTGTTTTTGTTTTACTTATATAAAAATAGGATGACTCTCTAAAATTATGATAGCCAACTAAAATAGGATATGATGACAGTACACAAAATGTTATGGTTACTTGATGATTCCCTAATTGAGAGAGGAGTCATAAGTCTGAAATGGTGAGAAAAACAAGCACTCAATAACCCCATCTGATGATTCTAATTGGTTGCCTTTCATACTATATGATCTTGAATTTCTATTGCAAGAAACAATAGGACATGTCATTTGAGCCTAACATTTGCTGAATGAGATCAGACAACAAGTATAAATTCTACCAAAATGAAAAAAAAGTGGATAATATTATCCATGCTTGGTTTTGTGATCTGTATTTCATAGGAAACAAGGTTTTGTCACAGTTCTTGAAGCAATATTGTTTAGCATAACACCTCATGTAGAAAAGCATTAATTTGTGGATGTCAGTCATGTTGCTGCTAGGGTAAATATGTAACACAATCCTTCTGCACTTTGTCCTGATGTTTGCTTTTCTTCAGCGGATACAAGTGTTTTGTTCATATTCAAAATTTGCTAGAATTGAAATTGAATCTGAGAACTGTAAAACAAATATTGTACTAAAAAAATTTTTTGGGATGAAGCATTTTCACTATTATTTTATTACTAGCTTTACTCTATCTTCTTAGTGTTGCTTTCTATCCCAATAGTCGAAGTTGATGTGTTCTCTCCTACTGCTAGAGCAAATTGCCTGAAAAACTGGAAATTGGAAAGAGTCTTCTGATGAGAGTTGACCTCACATGCCACACCTCCAAGAGTTTATCTTTCATGAAGGTCACCTTAACCACTTCAGCCACAGAAGTCTTCATGACTAAATGGAACACGTCATAATTATTTTGCTACTCTCTTCTATCTTTGTCTCTTTACTATCTTTGTTTTAGAAATTGTACACTAGGTTTCCATTTTAATGCAGTCATTGAGATCCATTAAATGTTATTGGAAATATCAGGATTCAAGAAGATCAGTGTCCACATTAAGCACTGCGTGCGTGTGTGCATATGATAAAGCAATAGGTGAAGGGAAAGCACTAAAAGTAAGCCTGCCAAAAAGAAATAAAAAAAAGTCAACTTTTATTATATCTTATAATTTTAAAAAAAAAGAACTTACCTGAATATCTCACTAGTAAAATATATTAGAATTGATAATTATTTATTTAATACAAACAAGGCAGTTGGCATCTGCCCAATATTTACACTTATATCTTAATATAAATACTATAAATACAAACCTAGCAAAGCATAACAAACTTCTAAGAAAACCATTTGGGACGGAATTGGTTATCAGGCTTTGATAAAAATATGCTTTACATTTTTTAACTTAAAGTTAACACGTTTCTATTTTTTCAATGTCATTTCCAGTATATTTACTATTATTTAACATTCACATTAAGCTACGCTTTTTTATCTCTACAATACACACAGTATTTTGAGTGGTGTAAATTTCATTTTGAAACTTTCTGATGAGTTGAAACAGAATTGTTCATATACTTTTATCATGGTAGGGTTCCTATCCGTTTTCATAATTTAGTATTTCATATTTTAGATGAGTAATTGTGGGTGAGTGTGTGTGTGTATATATATATATATATAAATATATATATATATATATATATAGAGAGAGAGAGAGAGAGATAGAATTACTCATCACAAAAGAATGTTAATTTTAACAAAAGATGAAAATGCTAGCCTCCAAAATCACATGATCATGTCTCATCCAACAAATTCTGTCCTTTGGCTTTAATTTGTGCTTCATAAAAAAAATACAATTATGTCTTAATTCAAACATGGAAAAGCTGCAACCAAAATATCCATGTATAATAGTATATGTTATTTCTTTCTTGTATTTATTGGGAGATGGGGAGAGAAGATGCTTGTAATATCATCCTTTCAAGAACCCTAGCAGCAACATGACTTGACCAAGATTTTTATAAGAAGTTAAGTCAGGCACTCCCACTGTTGCAATTATAAAGTAGAACAGTCCATGGGGGGAGGGGATCCTGGAAAAGATAATATTATAACCATTTTCCCTTCCCCCAATAAATACAACACATTTTGTGAATGGTTCCTTCATTCAGCGCCTAACAACTGCAATTGTGCCAATTCATGAAACTCACAGTTGCAGAGGAGTAAGAGAGCAGAAATATTTACTATTATATTCAAAGCTCAAGTATTTTACATCAAGCACATTTACTATTTTTTAGTACAGGTGCACTCCTTGGATAAATATTAAATTTAAAGAATATACACATTTGTATGCATATATACATAACATATTCAGTCTTCTGCTACAATTTAAAAACTTAAAAGTATGAAAATCAATTCAAAAAGTATTTTTATAAGAATTCAATGTTTGAGCAGCAAATGAAAAATATACAAAAAAGAATAGCACTCTCACAGCTGTCCCCCACTCTGTTACATAGAGGAATCAGATTGTCTGGTAAGATGTCTGAAATCCCATTGGCTAACAATCTTTGTGATGTTTTAGAAGAGGACAACTAAGAGTAAGCATATAACAAGAAAAGTAGACTAAGGAAAATGATCTCTATTACAACTCTAATTAGAATTGTTGATAAATTTGAGTAACATAGATTTGTGTTGCATGACAATTTCTACCACAGAACTGAAAAACCTGGTTGTGATCTTCTAAAAATTACATCCTATTTACCATTTTATGTTTACAACCAGTCATTAATTATTTTGTGTAGTGTGTAGCTGAATTGAAACTGTGTCTGTGTGATATGTTTCAATTATTATTAATTTTCTGACCATCACCATTATTGTTAAAACCCTTCTCATCTAAATGCACATCTTCACCCTTTTAAGTGTGTGTGTGTGTGTGTGTGTGTGTATAATTTCCCCTATGTGTTTGGGTGTTGCTTGATTGTTGCCTTGGGTGTTACAGTGTCCACTAGGAGCTGCAAGTCTTTATCTTGTGACACCATCAGCTGCCCCCCACAGCACCTCCTCCTCTTCCACAAGAATGGTCGAAAGAATGCAACAGGGTTCTGGTATAGAATGGTCTCAAATGCCAGATAAATACCACAGAAAACAGCTTACAACAGAAGAAATCGAGTTTATAGAGGTAAATATGGTGCTAGTTTTTTAGAGATCCATTTGTTTGTGGATAGGGGGATTGCTTTTCATGGAAAGGTCTGAATCAGAATTTATTCCTTATAAATCACATTACTTGCCTTTATCTGAGACTTAAAAAAAATTTATCCCAAATGCTATATTGGTTAGGCTTGTTATCACACTCTACAAGAAAAAGAACTTTGCTCTAACATCTAATCAGAAATCTCTTCCTTCCTTAAACTTTCTGATATAAATTTTGTCTGAAAAACATTGCAGTTAGCAATTAATTAACACTATTAACATTAAACATTTCTTTTAAACAGTGCAATCATTTTCACCTGAAAAATTCAGTAGAACATTTAGCTGTTAATTTGAAGAAAAGTTAATTTTATTAATATTGCCTACAGAGTAAATGAAACCAAACATCTGTTTGAGGAGGTAATATATAAATTACTTTAATTGTCATGTGATGTTACATCAAAATATCTCATCAATTACTTCAAGTCAATCACTGCTTTTAATGACTTTAACACTACAAACAAAATGTCTCTTGTCCTGATATGATTCAATGCCAGTGTTAAAAAAAAAAGAAAAGAATTTCTCACAAGACATTTCATCAGCCAATTCAGAGTAGTTAAATTTATGGAATTATATACAAACCTTCTAATATACAACTAGCCTAAGGTATAATTCATTTTTTTTAACATTTATGTAGTAATTAAAAATAAAAAAAGATATCACCTAACTCTGTTGATTACATTTTCTGAAAATCAAAATATATGTGTACATTTCTGCAACAAAATTAGTAATTTAGTACTTGATTGGTAATTTAGGACATTTTTTAAAATTCTTAATGGATATAAAAACATTCAATTTTTAATAAAATAATACTTGCAATCAAGATTATCAAGAGTTTCAAACTCTATAAGGTATACATGATTCATTAATTTAAGATAAGTGATTTGAATAATATTTTCAGTTCTTTTAAATTGCCAACCAAGATGCATATCACTGTTCAGTGACATGAAACAGGACATGGGAGGTGTTTGGTAAGTTGGCAGTGGAACTGCTTCTTGACCAATTTAATCAAAATCCGTTCAAATTTTGGAGTAGAACCTTATTTAGTGAAATTTTTATTTTCTCTTCCTTTAACTTGGTTCACAAAATGATTCCTAAATGTATCATACTCTTGAACACTTTAAATATTTCAAATACACAATAGACTTGCTCATGACCTAGATACTTGCTCATTGAATACTCATGACAGTTACTTAAAGAGTTAATATTTATTAAATGAGCACAAGCTTTTGTTTAACTAACAATAGGTCAGTACAAATATCAGCACCTCAGTGATCACCAGTAACAAAAAAAAATGAACCAATCATTTGCAAGAGAATTCACTTGTAGTCTGTCAACAAACACCACTTATAAACAGTGTTTTAAATAATGTTCAAAGTTTAATCAGTTTAAATTTTTTCATCATTATTCAAACTCTAACTGAAACAATATTTAATGATCACTGGCAAAATAATGGAATAACAGTTAAATATAAATGAATCAAATTCATATTGCTTATATATATATGTGTGTGTGATTTGCAGACAGTACTGTATCACAGCTCTTCAGTGTGACTAGACACTCAAATGCCTCAAGTCAGGATTGAAACCCAACTAATTTGGTGTCAGTCAGAGTTTCTACAACTGAGCTATTTTCATTCAACATAATGAGGCAGCTAAATCTAAAAAGTGAATATATATATATATATATAAAAAAATTCTGGTGAGGTCAAGAAATCTTTTGAGAACCTCCAGGCACAAAGCCTTCTAATTACTGTCATATCAGTCTCCTACACCTCTTCGGCAAAGTCTTTGAAGCCCTAATCAATACCGAAGTGGTTAACCACCTTACATCCCATGATCTGCTCTCAGACAATCAATATGGCTTCCATTTTGCCCGATCTACAGCTGATGTGCTCACGGCCATCACTGAAACTGTCTACCAAGCTCTTCAAAATAACGGGGAAGCTCATGCCATGGTCCTAGACATCTCCAAAGCGTTTGATAGGGTTTGGCATGCCGGCCTTTTTCGCAAGCTCCATGGTTATGGCATTATGGGTCGATTGTTTGACCTAATACAATCATTCCTGTCAAACTGTGAATTGAAGGTCATTCTCAATGGATTCTCCTCCAGTTCCTATCCCACGAATACAGGTGTTCCTCAAGGCTCCATCCTAGGCCCCACTCTATTCCTTATCTACATAAATGACCTTCCTGACGCCATAAATTCCCAAGTTGGCATCTATGCAGATAACACCACAATTTACTCCTGCCTCAAAAACAAATCTAGTGTCACTGACAAAACTAACCTGGTCGTGCGTCTCGGAAAGGACCTCCAATCGGTTGTGAACTGGGGCAGGAATTGGCTGGTCAACTTTAATGCCTCTAAAACAGAACTGCTCTCTATTAATCACCACAGAGATCCTTCCCTGCCCTCCATTAGAATGTCCTGAC